TAGCAAATCGTATGCCTCGATTTGCATTCAGAATCCATAGTGATTTCTTTGGATATGCATAGCATTTTCCATCATGAGACCTCTGAAGATGTCCTAGATCCTTTATTGTTGAGAAGGGCTAAGTCTATCAACGTTAGTTGTTGCACAAGGTGGCTGTTACTGTGTGCGACATTCTCTTGTGTCTACTCACCTCACCTGATTTTATTGTATTGCTTACTATTTCTCTGAATTGAATTTCTCTTTCTACCCTTTGCTGTTGAACTTTGTTGGTAATATTTAGAAATGCTGGGATTTATGTGGATTTATTTTATAGACTACAACATTGTTAATGTTGGTTGTTTCAGGTAGATTTTCAGTTGATTTCCTAGGGTTCTCTTAGTATACCATTATATCATCTTCAAAGAATGATAGTTTTATTTCCTCATTGCCTATTCTAATTTTTCAAACTCTCTTCTCTTACTGTTAAAGCTAATATTTCTACTCCACTACTGAGTAATAGTGGTGATGATGGGCATCCTTTTTTCATCCCTGGATAAATCTTAATTTTTTTTTAATGATCTGATCTTAATTTTGTCCACAAAGATCATGAGGGAATTTTTCTAATGCTCTACTGAAATTTGGATAAAGTATATTGATAATAATCCCCTGGTCAATCAATATGTGAAGATAGTTAGGTATGATCTGTTGTGACTTCCTAATGAACTCAGGAGAGTGGATGAGATCACCAGCAAACAGTGTCCAAGACATTATTCATAAGGCAAAGGAATTCAACAGCATCTGAGGTTATGTAAGTTCTAGAAAGATACTGACTAACACAAAGGCTATCAGATGTTTAACGAGGTCTTCTCTTCAATGCATTTTGTACCCCCATTTCCATTCAACCACTTGCATTTTTTTTTAATTTGTAGTGCTTTAATATACTTTAACTTGCTTGCATGTTAAAATAATTCCATGAGGTTGGTATCATAGATGTTATCTTCCCTTTGATGATGTATTAAGTGTCATGCCTGTGGCCACACAGCTAGTAAGTATAAAAGCAGCATCTGAAGTCAGATACCTTCTGACTCTGAAATCCAGCAAATTATTGACTATGCTACCTCTTGAGGGCTTGAAAATAGACCTGGATAATGAACAATTACAAATATCTGAAAAAAGGACTGTTTTTTTTTAATTTCTTGCTTTTTGTAAAGGAGATCATTTATATATTTATCTCTGCCCCCACTCCCCTTTGTAAGAAAAACAGTTAAGCAAATGAAACTGACACCCTTCCATACCCAAAACACCCATCAACCTGTGAAAAAACATTTCATCAGTATTCTAATTAATATTAATTATTTACCTTAACCTGAATGTTTTTAGTATTTTTCTTTCCATGAAATATGTTTCTTGATTCTGCTTTTTTCATTCTACATAAGTTCATACAAATCTTCCCTCTTTTCTGTTTCTTCCCCAAAAAGTGCCCACATGGGGCCTTCCCTCGCTTCAATGCCTCGTTGACCTCATTTTGTTATATGCCTTGTAGCAGACAGACATATGAGTCAAAGGGTTCAAATAGTTTAGTGACTTTTCTTTAAAAGTTCCAGATTGTTGTAATGGTTGGACAAGTGAAAAGATCTACCACCAGTATTTATTAAGAACTCCTTTCTTAAACAGCATCTATTTTTTTTATGTTTGTAAATTTAATTTGAGGTGAATCCAGTATTGTTAAATGTTCATTTCCCTTAGTGACTTCCTGTAATATTTTGTTTGTTAATTGCATTTCTTAATTCTGAAAGTCATTTGTTCCTCTATTTTGAAAACTTAGCTAGGAAATGATTCTTAGTCTCATATTTTTGTATCGTTTCTATAGCAGATTTTATTCCATTATTTGATTAAACTATTTTCTCAAATCTAGTTTCTCTTGGTTTTGTTTGTACATATGTGTTTTAATTTTATGCCTCTATCCTTTGGTTTGCAATTCTCCTTCTTATAATTGTGAAAGCTCCTTTCATTCTCCTGATTTCATCCCACTGTGTGTGTGTGTTAGTGTTTTTTGGGTTTTTTTTTTTCAAAACAGTAGGCTGAGAATCCATTTGGAACTTATTGTGGAAATAAATGCTGATCTAAACATTTTCTGTCAAACATATGATCAGTTTGCATAGAAGTTTTTGTCAAATAAAGAGGGTCAGGGTTTGAAAAGTAGGTACTGAATGGATGACTATCATCAACTTTAAAAGTTACTACCAGAGTGGTGTTCTGGTGGAGGTGAAGCACCTCATTCTGCAAACAAGAACAGAATTAGAACTGTGATCCAGTAAGGAAGTGTATGGGGCAGCAATGGGCCTGTATCATAATACCTGGAAAGAAGGGTTCATTGCGGTTCTGGGAGTATGGATTTATTGAAATGATTTTGGAAAAAATTATAATGCTCGATGTCCAGTTTCAAGTAAGATGCTTTCCACATATAGCCTGCTGTTCTCAATATAGGGCTGGTACAACCACATAGATAAGTAGCTTAAAATGAGATCCTGGTTTGTAGTATGGGCAAGCTCTTCCACAATGATGCATTTCAGGTGTATTTTTTCTTGTACATTTCTGAAAGCTGATGGGAAAATTCATAGAAGTAGGTAGTGGGACATGTATGGAAAAGGGGTGTTTGCTAATTTCCACTTCCATAATGGTAATTTTCTAGGTTACAAGTTCCTTTAGTGGTTGATGTTAGCTTTTCCATTTTCACCTGTACCTTAGCCGAGTTTTCCAAAGTGTCATGAAGTTCCTTGCACAACATCTCAAATTCCTCATTATATTTTTGATGTACCTTTTGAGAATGAAAGCCAGAAGCAATGGTGTTGCATTCTAGTTCTACCTTGTCTTCATTAAGTACACTGATTTTGATGTTTCCTGTTTGTTTGCAACAGAAAATCCCATTTTGTTGAGTCTCCCATTTTGATAATAAATTGTGCCAATCTACAGCATTGTCCTTAATTTTTCTTGTGCTGACAGATGAAACAGTTCTTTTGGGAGTAACCATGCCAGAGTTCTTCAAGTCCATGACTTCAGTGCCCAACATCTAGCCCGATGCGGCAGGAGGAAGTTTGAAGCCAATTGCATTTTTTAAGGAGTTATTTTCTTCAGTCAATTTTTGTCCTTCCTAGCTATTCACTCTCTCTTGCATACCTCTCATTTCTTTTCCCAGTTTTTCTTTTATCTCTCTTATTTGACTTTGAAAATCCTTCTTGAGCTCTTCCAAGAAGGCTTTTGGGGCCTGGAATCAATTCATATTTCCCATAGGGGTTTCAAATGTAGGTATATTGACTGTGCTGTCCTCTTCTGAATTTGTTTTTTGATCTTCCCTGTCACCATAATAATTCTCTAAGGTCAGCGTTCTTTTCTGCCTTTTGCTTGTTTTGTTTGCCAGTTTCCTGGCTTTTAAAGTTAACTTTCCTATTGGAGCACAGGGAGCACTGTCCCAAGCTTCTTGTGCTGGGAGCAAGGTGCCTTGTCACTAGCTTTCTGTACTGGGGCCTTGGGTGCTGGCACGTGGGGGATTTGGGGTCTGGCTGCTTACCAGTCGCTCTGCTGGGGTCCTAGTGGTGGTGTCTGACATATACTAAGGCTAGGTGCAGTTTTTCTGCCTTTTCCCTGGGCTACACTGAATCAAGTGGAGGTCCAGCCACTGGTGGTTGCCTGCCTGCTTGGAGCTGCATCAGCATATGTGGTGGTTCTCCAAGCTGAAGTCTGCTGGTTGCCCTGGCTATCCTAAGATACATGGGGAATCCTGGTGTTCACATTTGCCTGCTCAACCATTCTGGGGCTCAGCATCTCCTGCTGGTTTGCTGAGGTGGGGCTTGCTGCTGGCTTGTTGGGATGCCTCTCATCGTGGACTGCAGTCCCCTTTTTATCCAAGTGAAATGAACCTTTCTTGGCAATCCCAATTTCCCAGCCTGAGAGACTGCTTCTCCCTGTCTTTCCACTATCTTAGCTCTTCCACTGAAACCACTGGCCAGGACTGTCTCAAAGAAGTAGGGAAAAAAAATCCTTCTTTCTTGGTGCCGTGTTGCTTAGGGAAATAAAAGTAAATGAGATCTGTATCATTAAGTAACTCTATAAACTGTTCTGATTGAGCCAAGAAAACATGAAAACAAGATATGCAGGTAATACTCTGCCTGTTAATTTCAAATTCACTGTAAAACTTTTAGTTACCTCAGAGCTAGATAGAGCATGACAACATGGAGAGAAATTCATAGAGGTGAAATGATTAACAGAACTGTTAAAGATTAGGAAGAAATAAATGTACATGCCACAGGTCAAATAAATCTATTAAAACAAAACCAACATAGAAAATTAGCCTGGATAGGACACAATTATCTTAATTTTGGAGCTTCTAATAATAGAATTAAACAATCATTCCAGACTTTTAGGAACCAAGATAGTGAAGTAAGCAGTAAATTACTCTCATTCTCCCCTATTGACCTCTAAAACCCCCAAAATAGCACCTCATGAAAAGTCCATGATGTTGTCTATTCTATAAACTATCTCATTGTTTTCCCCACCAATCCAACTCTGTTCTTTGTTCTCGTACTTCCCCAAATTCTATGAAGGCTAGTAATCCCTATCTCATGGTCTTTGGTCATTGAGAAAAGCCATTAACCCAGTTTATGGGTTACTACTAACCTAACTAATAAATTGATCTTGCAGAGACCATTTCCTCTCAGTTTACCTTTCATTTTCAAAGATAACAGTTTCAGCTAGAGTAAATATGTAAATCAATCTGTGATTTGGTATAAAATGAGTATCTCACAAGAAACTTAAAATGTGGAAGTAAATTGAGATTACAAAATAATCAACTAAATGCATAATTAGGAAAATAGAAATTTCTTACCTCTTTATCTTCTTTTAAAATAGATCACAATAGATAAATTATAGCTGTGATAACTGCCATTACCGCTAATGGGGGGATTTAATTCATATAAGAGAAGTAACTCTAAATAAAATAATTATTTACTTAAATATTAATACAGATTTTACACCAGTATTGGAATTTCAAGAATCATCACAGGAAAGTGAAGAAAGCTTTGATAAAAGTGACTCAGAACAGGTATGTAAAAATGATATTCAAATTTCTGAGATTTTACTTCAGTAAAAGTTCCTTTCATGCAAATTTTATTGGAAGTTTTTCACATCTTAGTTACTTTTAAATGGATTTTTGTCTGATTTCAGGAGTTGAAATTTTCTTTGGAGGTGCAGGAAGCAACTGGAAAACTTCATCCCTAGTTGTATAATAATAGAATAGAGAAAGAGTCCCTGAATGTGGATTAATCCTGGCATTTTTTATAAATTTCTTACATATAAGGAAGTTAAGTTAGCCTACCTAATCATATAATTGTTTTGCCTTTAATAAGCCAAGTAATTGCAATAACAGAATTACCATGAATGCATGTTAAAGAATATCTTAGTCCTGATTTCTTTCTTATTGTCAGGCTAAAATTATTAGTCATCAATGGCAAGAAAATAACCTGGAATGTCAATATCTGGGAATGTATATCATTTTAGATGGCTACACTAAAATCTATCAGTGTTTTACAATGCTAGAGTATGTCATTAAAAATGCCATAATAAAATCTTATTTGGTAAGCAAAATAATAGCAACAATAAATAATAATAATTTATAAGCTTTTATAAAAACATGGCAATATTGAAAACATTACTAAGAATACTATGGTATTTTGTCACTACTGAATTGTGAGATATTTTACATTGTTAATAATGAGCAACATAAAATAATATGAAAGAGAAAAGTAGGAATTAAAGATACTTTATTTATGTCAAGTTAAAAAAAAAAAAAAAATCTTAGCATTCATGATCAAAGCTAATCTAATCTATCCTTAACCTAAATAGCCAATCCTATCTGTAATACCCCCAAAGTAGTTGAAGACCTTCTGTGACTGAAAACTTATTACCCAGAGGAAGCAGCTCATTGCTTATTTGAACAGCTCTAAACTTTGAAGATGTTTTCCTTAGGCTGAGCTATAATCAACCTTCCTGTGATGTGCACCCAGGGCTCCTGGTTCTCACTTAATTGAAGAGTCAAGTTGAACAACTCAATCCCTTCTGCATTCTAATTCTCTAAATATTTGATGACTATTATCCCAACATCCTTTAAATCTTCTTTTCTACAGACTAGACACCTCCAATTGCCTACCAGACCCTCCTGTGATATGAATCATGGTTGAATTCTGAGCTCTCTTTAAGTTCCTCTGAAGACCCTGTAGTTTTCTAGGGTCCTATCTAAGAACAGTAATACAGATGTGTTCTGATCAGGACAAAGTAGTGGATTGTCATGTCTCTCACTAAGGATACTGTACTACTTTTGCTGCAAAGATCACATTCGTCCTTTTGATAGACACTTCAGTATTAAATTTATGGCTCAGTAACAAATACTTTCTCTCAGGAACTCCTATGAAAAACTGTTTCTCCCATTGTGTACATACATAGTTGTTTTGTTTTATTTTGTTTTGTTTTGTTTTGTTTTAGTCCAAGTCCAGGTTTTACATTTATCCTGTTTAAACTGTATATTCTTAGCACTAGCTCATTGTTCCAATCTAGCAAAAGCCTTTGGAATCTCAGTTCTGTGACTTATTTCATCAGCAGCCTCTCCCAATTCCATGACATATACAAATCTGATCTCAGCATTCAATATATCGATTCCTCCTGATTATCAGTTTAAAATGGTGAACAGAATAAGACTGAGGATAAAGCGACCAACTGCCCTCCAGAATAAATTAGTGTTCATTGGGTGTTTCCAATGAAGCTGCTCCAAACCTTTAATACATCCACATTTTTCACCTAGTCCACAAAGATTTTGTGAGAAACTGTTTCAAATACTTGTTGAAATCCAGACATACTGTGTCTTTGACATTCCTTGAATCTAGTCTTTTATTCTCTAGTCTACTGACAATTAAAAAAAAAAGGAAACATATAAGGTGTCTAGCATAACTTGTTTTTAATGAACTGATATCAATTCTTAATTATCCCTTCTTAGAACTCTTTTTGGAAGTATGTACAAACTATTAATTTGATAAGTTAGACTAGAATTTGCCAGCAATCAAGGATATTCACTTTTTTCTAGTCCCATGGCAACTCCTTGGTAACTGTAACTATTCATAAGTTTAAGACAAAGATTCTTTAGCCCTATATGCAAATTAGTTTCAGTACCTTGAGATGATAATCCTAATTATTTAATTTGAACTCAATGAGAATGGTGTTGAGATGCCCATACTCTAGAGCCTCCTGGCAATGTCTTCCTTAACAGAAGTTAGAGGAGTTCCAAACCCCATGTTTCAGATGTTCTATACAAGAGAGAATCTGATCTTAGAGTCTTGCTATCATATTTCACTTAGTTACATCCTGCAGAAGCAATAGGCAAGAGGGGGGTGAAAGATGAAGCAGGTCATACAGCCTTTCCCTCCCATAGAATTTTTCTGATATCAGGTTCCAATTCACAACCAGGGCCTTCAATCCTATACATTGCCTAGACTACACAGCTTTATTCACTATATCACTGCCCTATAAATAACTATTGAAATTACCATTCCAATGTTATTTCCTCATAATCAGAACTGTGTTAGTGTATAGTTTATCCTCATTAATATATTATGGAACTTTAATCTAAGTATTTCCCAAATAGCACCACACTCATCAACAAGTAAGTTAATTGAATATTTTCTTAGAATGCATAGATTACAGCTCAAGGAGTTGCTCTTATATGCAATAGAAAGTGGCTATGATCTAGGGCTGTGATAACCTTTTGAGCCCTTACTGTTACATGAAAAGATTCTATCACTTCATCTATGTTCATTAAAGAAAATAATGGCTTCTCTACCATTAATTAATAGAGCAAAAATTAACACAACTGCTTAAGAAGGTGATACACGTCTTCAGCTGGAAGCAGAGTGTCGATTTATTAGGGATATTTTGGTTGAAATTTCTGTCCAAATGTAATCAATCAGTTTCCTTCCAACTTAGAGATTTGGTGTACCTATGAATTTGGAATATAGTGAAAATCAGTCAAATAAAATGTTGCCATCTCTCTTAAATTATGACTTTTAAAATGTCCAGTTTTTGGGAAATGATATTATAGGTCATTTGAAGTAGTTTATTTTGATATGGACATGACACAGTAGATGGAGTGCCAGGCCTGGAGTCAGAAAGATTTATCTTCTTGACTTGAAATCTGGCTTCAGACAATTACTAGTTCTATGACCCTGATCAACTCACTTAACCCTGTTTGCTTCAGTTTTCTCATCTGTAAAATGAGCTGGAGAAGGAAATGGCAAAACACTCTAGTATCTTTGCCAAGAAAACCTCAAATGGGATCACAAAGAGTTGGCTATGACTAAACAAGAATAAAAGTTGATTGTGGTCATGTGCACATGATAGAATGTGATTATGTCATGTAAACATTTTTATATAATTTATTCAAAAATCTATGTGCAGACTATCAGTACTGTGGTTTATCTCATGCAAACTAATTATGGGACTGCAATCTCCATGCATCTGAACATTTGGAGAATTTTGCCTTTAGAGTTGGATCCATGGTTCTTACCTGTACTGGGGTCAGGGAATCATATGTTACTTGGCTGTTTTGAAGCAGTCACTTCCTACCTCATAAACCCCATTAATTCTGTTGATGGATCTAAGTTGTGTATTGTAATCATTTCTTATTTCTTGTTCTGAATTACATGCAAAAATCATTTCCCTTCTCACGTCAATTCCTACGCTCTAATTAGTAAAATAATTAGAGAGGTGGTTTTTACTGGAACCAAACACAGAAGTGGACAATCGATACAGGTATATCTTACGACAATACAGTTATTTCAAATCACATTCTAGTTTCACAAAGACATGACATAACGTAGAGTTACAGTTTTTGCACTTATAATTAGTGTTCAATTTTAAGATATTTAAAAGTCATAAATAGGCAAATACATAAATATAATAAAGACTCTCACTACTTCAAAGGAATATTGAGTTGAGATTTCTATCCCATCCCAAGTTTATATTTTATTTGCGTTGGTTTTTCCATTAGGCAGAATGTGTGTTTATTAAAATATTGACCATTCTAATTTACTGCTATTTTTAAACAAACTGGAAAAGTATGGTACTGTGAGACCACCAAAAAATGAGATATAAAAAAGGAAATTTGTTCCTCTTTGGTTCTTTAGGAATATACTATGGCACATGCTTAATAATACATTTACCCTAATCCAGAATACCCTGGATAAAACTTACATTGAAATTTTTGTTTGTTCTATTATTTAGGGAAAGTTTAAATATTTTTTCAAGATTCATTAATTTATGTGTTTTTGGTTTTCAACATTCACTTCCACAAGATTTTGAGTTCTGAATTTTCTCCCCATCTTGTCCATCCCCCAGAGCCAAGACAGCATGCATTCTAAATACCCTTTCCCCTAATCTGCCCTCGCTTCTACCTCCACCCCCCTTTCTCTTCTATTTTCCTGTAGGGCAAGATAGATTTCTATACTACATTACCTGTATATCTTATTTTCCACTTACATGTGAAAACAATTTTTTTTTTAACATTTGTTTTGAAAACTTTGGGTTCCAAATTTTCTCCAATCCTCCCTTGAGAAGAGAAGCAACCCAATGCTGGTTATACTTGTGTAGTCATGCAAAACACTTCTACAGTAGTCATGCTGTGGAAAACTAAATGTATTTCCTTTCATCCTATACCACCCTCCCTTATTCTATACTCTCTTTTGACCCTGTCCTTTCTCAGAAGTGTTTCCTTCTGATTACCCCTTCCCCCAGTATGCCCTCCCCTCTATCATCCCCTGCTCTCTTCCTCTTCCCCCATCTTTTCCTGTAGAATAAGATGATTTTCCATACCCAATTCAGTGTGTATATTATTCTCTCCTTGACCAAATACGATGAGAATAAGATTCACTCATTCCCTCTCACCTTCCCCCTTTCCCCCCCACTGTAGAAGCCTTTTCTTGTCTGTTTTATGTGAGATAATTTACCCTATTCTACCTCCTCCTTTCTTCTTCTCCCAGTATAATCCTCTCTCACCCCTTAATTTTATTCTCCAGATATCACCCATTCATCTTCAACTCACCCTGTGCCCTCTATCTGTCAATCTGTCTATACATATATTTTTCCCCCTCCAACTACCCTAAGACTGACAAAGGTCTCATGAGTTACAAATATCATCTTTCCATGTAGGAATGTAAACAGTTCAACCTTGATAAGTCCCTTATGATTTCTCTTTCCTGCTTACCTCTTCATGCTTCTCTTGAGTCTTGTATTTGAAAGCGAATTCTTCTATTCAGCTCTGGTCTTTTCATCAAGAATGCTTGACAGTCTTCTATTTCACTAAATATCCATTTTTCCCTTGAAGGATTATACTCATTTTGCTGGGTAGAGGATTCTTGGTTGTAATCCTACCTCATTTGCCCTCTGGAAAAGCCTATTCCATGCCCTGTGGTACCTTTATGTAGAAGCTGCTAAAACTTGTGCTATCATGATTGTGTTTCCACACTACTTGAATTGTTTCTTTCTGGTTGCTTACGATATTTTTTCCTTGACCTGGGAACTCTGGAATTTGGCTACAATATTCCTAGAAATTTACCTTTCAGGATCTCTTTTAGGATGTCATCGATGGAGTCTTTTCATTTCTGTTTTACCCTCTGATTCTAGAATATAAGTCAGTTTTCCTTGATAATTTCTTGAAAGATGGTGTCTAGGCTCTTTTTTTTGATTGTGGCTTTCACATAGTCTAATAATTTTTAAATTATCTTTCCTGGATCTATTTTCCAGGTCAGTTGTTTTTCCAATGATATATTTCACATTGTCTTCTGTTTTTTCATTATTTTGGTTTTGTTTTACAGTGTCTTGATTTCTCATAAAGTCACTACTTTCCGGTTGCTGCATTCTAATTTTTGAGGAAGTATTTTCTTCAGTGAGCTTTAGGACTTCAGTTTCCATTTGACCAATTTTGCTTTTGAAGGCATTCTTTTTCTCATTGGCTTTTTGGACCTCTTTTGCCATTTCGGTTTGCCTATTTTTTAAGGTGTTATTTTCTTCATTATTTTTTGTGTCTACTTCAGCAATCTGTTGACTAGTTTTTTATGATTTTCTTCCATCACTTTCATTTGTCTTCCCAGTTTTTCCTCTAACTCTCTTACTTGCTTCTTGAAATCCATGGCCTGGGACTGATTCCTATTTTTCTTGGCTGCTGTGAAAGTATGAACATTGACTTTGTTGTCTTCTTCTGGTTGTATGTTTTGATCTTCTCTGGCACCAAAGAAAAATTCTGCTGTCTGCCTTTTTTTTTTTTGTCTCTTTGCTTATAATCCCAGCCAATTACTTGAGTTTTAAACTCTTAGTTAAGGTAGGGGGTCTGCATCTAGAATGGAGAATGTATGGTCCCAAACTTCGGGGTTTTGTGCAGCAATTTTTAAAGATACTTCTAGGGACATATAAACTTTCAGTTCTTCCAAGGTGGTATGAACAAGGGTAGGCTGTTTACTACTTTCATGGGCTGTGCTCTTTTCTATGAGTGACAACAAGCACTTTTTTTACCTTGGAACTCTCAGGAGTATTCCCTCTGCACCATTACTACAAGCTCCACAACTCCAGCATTCCTCCTTGCCTAGGACTGTCACCCAGAATTGTGATTCAGATCTAAGCACAGGCAAAGAAAAAGAATCCTCCCTTACCATCAGCATTGAGTTCCCTGAAATCCTCTTCTGATCAGCCACTGGATTCCCCCTCAATTTGTGGGCTAGAATCTCCAGAAGCAGCTGCCACCCTGGGTCTGGGACCTAGCTTCTCTCTCACGATGTCACAGAATTTTTGTAGTGACTTTTAAAGTTGTCTTTGGAGTTTGTGGGTTTGAGGAGTCAGAAAACCCCCACAGCTATCCATGATTCAGTCCCCTGAGGCCTGCTTTAGGTTCACTGAGGCATGGTCTTTCCCTACATACCCAAGCTGAACTACTTTTCTCTCCAAGCCCTACACAATAGTTCTTTCTAATCAAAGGTGAGATAGAGCTTTCTAATTAACCATCCAGGTTGTCTTGGGCTGGAGATTTCTTTCACTCTCTCTTTTTGTGGGTTCTGCTGCCCTAGAATTTGTTTAGAGCCAGTTTTTTTATAGGTATTTGGAGGGGTTTGGGGGAGAGCTCAAGGAAGTTACTACATTTGCTCCACTATCTTGGCTCTGCCCCACCTCCCCCCACCACCCCCAGTTTAAATAATTTTTAACATGTCTTTGAAACACAATGATTTGGGGCTAGATAACATACTAAGCTTTACAGAATAATTTTAACTACTGTTTGTTTATTCTTTAATTTATCTTCTTCCATATTTCTTTACTAAGGAGAAAGTTACTTCAGAAAGTCAACATACCAGAACAAACAGCACCTGGGAAACAAGTTAAACCACTTCATTTTCCACTTTCATATCTAGGAAAAAAGTCTCAAGGACGAGAATCCAATAAGGAATCTAATAGTGATAATGTGCATTTAGATGTAGAAAATGGGCAGAAAGATGTGAAAAACTGTGGGTTAAACAGAAGACAATGGAAGTCAAAAGGAATTTTAAAATTGTTCCAACTGAGTTTAAGCAGATATTTGAAGAAATTTATGAAAAGGACAAAATTGCAGATCAGCCTACAGAGAAACTACAAGATGAGGAACTACTAGATGTCTCTGAAAAGGAAATAGAACAGTTACAAGAAGCATCCCTTAATCTGACAAATAGCTCAGGTGATACTGAAAAAGAGGAGAAATGTAGAGGCCCACTCAATGTAGGAGTTCAGTCATTTTCTGAACAAAACGATTACTCTCTGGAAGATGCTGTTTTAAACAATTTAAAGCTCACTTTCCAAGAAAATGTTCTTCACTCATCTTCTAATCTAAGCTCAGAAAGTAGTAACCTATACCATAAGAAAGGTAATAAGTCAGAAATTGAATGTACTTGCAATTTAAATGAAGAATATGTTGCTTATGATGCAGAAATTATAAAAATATCCAACTCACAAATAGCTATAAATGAAATGAAGGAAGATGAAGCATTTGGTATGAAACTGGCAGGAAATCTAAACAGGAATACCAAAACTTTGGAATCAGATTCAGGATGTTTGCTACAATCAAGTAGTCTAGCAAGCCATTTTGATGTCTGGTGTACTCGCTCTGATGATATGCAATCAATATATGCCATCCAAGAAAAAAAGCCTACACTCACCACTGCAACCAAACTTAATGAGAAAACAAAACGAAAAGAAAACTTATTCCATGAAAGAGATCACAATGACAATAACTCTCCAAATGAGGTAAGACCTTATAAATACCTCCTTCCATATAGTGACAAAATATCAAAATGCACCTGAATAAAGAATTAAATCAAGATATGTGAAGATTTAAAAATGAGTTAGGAATGGTGGAAGTAGACAACCCAGCTTTTGAGGGTAAAAAAACACAACTACAAAAAAAGCTAGATTTACCTCCTGCCACTCTCCATTCCATTTATTTTTCTTCTTCATCAATCTTCCTGTGTAATTGATTTTCACATGATGAAAAATCTGTGTTTAAATGCTTGCTATTTGTAAAGGTATATTTAAAGTTGAATTAAGGTAAATATTCAGAAAGCCTTTTCATAGTCCTTATTTTGATCATCTAAATTACTCCATCAGATTCCAAAATCTTTTGCTTGTAAACAACAAACTTTCTAAAGCAAACATGCACATAGCAACATTAGACTCTGTGGCAAAAAGAACAAGGCCTAAAGATAATTAGGGCACAGGCCTAAAAGGAATGTAATGAACTCAGGTTCTCTTTTATGCAAGTCACTGCAATATTTTACACTTCAAATAATTTTGCTTTCTATGGACATTTTTATTTTCTTAGCCAAGTGTAAGATGCTATGGCTTAAAATATTGAAAATACAGGCTAACATTAGGAAATTTCTAACAGATCCACTTGATTGGACTAATATGGTTATTGTGATCTGCTGTGTTCATCTTTACTGATTTTAGTAAAAGCATTAAACTTCATTTTTTTTATTTCAAAATGAAAGGAAACACATTTTTTCCTAATTTATTTAGTAACAGTTTTCCAAAAGGCATTAATACAAGATTTCTCAATTTTCCCACAACTAATACATAACAGAGTTGGGACTTAAACCTAGGTCTTCTGACAACAAGTTCAAAGCTCCTGCTCTGGAATTTCATTGTTTTTAAAAGGTGTTTATTTGCTATAGATAGTTATCATTTTAGCACATAGAGATAACATAAAATGTCAGCAAAAGATGGAAAAATAATGGGAAAACACTGACTTCTGATATACTTGAACATTGACTGGATTTAGATGGATTTAGCAGGCCCTGAGGACTGCTCCAGGTTCACTGAGGCATGGTCTTTTTCCTACATGCCCAAGCTGAACTACTTTTACCTCCAAGCCCTACACAATAGTTCTTTCTAATCAAAGGTGAGATAGAGCTTTCTAATCAACCATCCAGGTTGTCTTGGGCTTGGAGATTTCTTTCACTCTCTCTTTTTGTGCCTTCTGCTGCCCTAGAATTTGTTTAGAGACAGTTTTTTTTATAGGTATTTGGAGGGGTTTGGGGGAGAGCTCAAGGAAGTTACTACATTTGCTCCACTATCTTGACTCTGCGCCACCTCCCCCCACCAACCCCAGTTTAAATAATTTTTTAACATGTCTTTGAAACACAATGATTTGGGGCTAGATAACATACTAAGCTTTACAGAATAATTTTAACTACTGTTTGTTTATTCTTTAATTTATCTTCTTCCACATTTCTTTACCTAAGGAGAAAGTTACTTCAGAAAGAGTCAACATACCAGAACAAACAGCACCTGGGAAACAAGTTAAACCACTTCATTTTCCACTTTCATATCTGGAAAGAAAGTCTCAAGGACTAGAATCCAATAAGGAATCTAATAGTGACAGTGTGCATTTAGATGTAGAATCAAAACGGGCAGAAAGATGTGAAAAAGTGCGGGTGAAAGAGAAGACAATGGAAGTCAAAAGGAATTTTAAAACTGTTCCAACTGAGTTTAAGCAGATATTTGGAGAAATTTATGACAAGGACAAAATTGCAGATCAGCCCACAGAGAAACTACAAGATGAGGAACTACTAGATGTCTCTGAAGAGGAAATAGAACAGTTACAAGAAGCATCCCTTAATCTGACAAATAGCTCAAGTGACACTGAAAAAGAGGAGAAAGGTAGAGGCCCACTCAGTGTAGGAGTTCAGTCATTTTCTGAACAAAACGATTACTCTCTGCAAGATGCTGTTTTAAAGCTCACTTTCCCAGAACAGGTTCTTCAGTCACCTTCTAATCTAAGCTCAGAAAGTAGGAACCTACACCATAAGAAAGGTGATAAGTCAGAAATTGAATGTACTTGTGATTTAAATGAAGAATATGTTGCGTATGATGCAGAAAATATAATACTAGCCGGCACACAGACAGCTGTAAATGAAAGGAAGGAAGATGAAGCATTTGGTAGGAAACTGGCAGGAAATCTAAACAGGAATACCACAACTTTGGAATCAGATTCAGAACGTTTGCTACAATCAAGCAGTGTAGCAAGCCATTGTGATGTCTGGTGTACTAGCTCTGATGATATGCGATCAATCATCCAAGAAGAAAAGCCTGCATTCAAATTTAATGAGAAAACAAAAGTAAAAGAAAACTTCTTGCAGAAAAGAGATCACAATGACAATAACTCTCCAAATGAGGTAAGACCTTAAAAACACCTCCTTTCATATAGTGACAAAATATCAAAAATGCACCTGGATAAAGAATTAAATCAAGATATGTGAAGATTTAAAAATGAGTTAAGAATGGTGGAAGTAGGCAACCCGGCTTTTGAGGGGAAAAAAAGACAACTGCATAAAAAGGTAGATTTACCTCCTGCCACTCTCCATGCCATTTATTTTTCTTCTTCATCAATCTTCCTGTGTCATGGATTTTCACATGAGGAAAAATCTGCGTTTAAATGCTTGCTATTTGTAAAACGTATATTTGAAGTTGAATTACGGTAAATATTCAGAAAGCCTTTTCCTAGTCCTTATTTTGATCATCTAAATTACTGCATCAGATTCCAAAATCTTTTGCTTGTAAACAACAAACTTTCTAAAGCAAACATGCACATAGCAACATTAGGCTCTGTGGCAAAAAGAACAAGGTCTAAAGATAATTAGGGCACAGGCCTAAAAAGAATGTGATGAACTCAGGTTCTCTTTTATGCAAGTCACTGCAATATTTTGCACTTCAAATAATTTTGTTTTTTATGGACATTTTTATTTGCTTAGCCAAGTGTAAGATGCTATGGCTTAAAATATTGAAAATAGAGGCTAACGTTAGGAAATTTCTAACAGATCCACTTGATTGGACTAATATGGTTATTGTGATCTGCTGTGTTCATCTTTACTGATTTTAGTAAAAGCATTAAACTTCGTTTTTTTAAATTTCAAAACGAAAGGAAAGACATTTTTTCCTAATTTATTTAGTAATAGTTTTCCAAAAGGCATTAATACAAGATTTCTCAATTTTTCCACAACTCATACATAACAGAGTTGGGACTTAAACCTAGGTCTTCTGACAACAAGTTCAAAGCTCCTGCTCTGGAATTTCATTGTTTTACAACATGTTTATTTGCTATAGATAGTTATCATTTTAGCACATAGAGATAACATAAAATGTCAGCAAAAGATGGAAAAATAATGGGAGAACACTTCCTTCTGATGTACTTGAACATACT